ATCCCGGGCTGGTTTGTGGGTGTCACTCACCCCCTTGGGTTTATAACCGTTTGCAGGGTCAGTTCCTTGCGGACGCAGCACAGTGCCCCGCAGGCAGCAGCACCGTTAAGTATTCAGACCCAGGTGGGCGCTGGCCCCAGGGAGACGCACACACCACACTGAGAACCTTCCAGCCGCATGCAGAGAGCAAAGGATCCTCAGGACAGGGCCTGCCTTCTCCCCTGCTGAACACCCTCTGTCCTTCAGTGCCCAGACCCCAGTCTTCTCCCCATCCTCACCCCCAGGGGGCCCCTCCCTGAAGGCGCTGGAGGCCAGGCTCCCGGGATTCACCTGCAGGTGGTGATGGAGATCCCCCTTGTCTCCCAGCACCTGGCCTGCTTCCTGCAGCTGGTTTAACTAAACCCTGGAACCCTCTAGAACTTTCTGGTCACTCCAGCACCAAGTCAGTGTACACCAGTGCCAACCAGTTCATCCAGAGAGCAGCCAGAGCACTTCCACACGAGATTCCACTTTAAATTAAAAAAAGACACCTGTGCTCTCCTTACTCCATAAAGATGCTCAGTTACTAAAAGGCCAAGACCCTGGAAACAGGATTGAAGCAAAAGAACGGTGACTGTGACACTGAAGATGAGGAGCAGCCTCTGCCCAAAGGCCGTGCACCCTAAAGAAATCACCTACAAATGCAGCAAAGCCCTCAACCTGCTGCATTATCTGTTAAGGAGAAATGAGTCTCCCGGAGTGCCGGCAGTGGGGGACAGTTAAGAGAATTAAGGCACGTCTGTACGATGGAAGATTACATTTAGTTTAAAATTTTAAAAGTGTTTAGTTTTCAATTTTAAAAGAGTAATTTAAAAAGTATATACAGTCTTTCAAATGAACTGTTTGCGTGTCAAATAAAAGAAAAAGAGGGCATTGACTTGTATATAGAGTTGCTATGATGAAAACAGAAAAATACCCCAGGCCTGGAAAAGGAAAGGCAAAGGATACAGTGAAGTGCTATCAGTGAGCTTTGGGAGAATTAAGGAATCACTTCCTGAGCTTCGTCGATAGAGCTGAGAGTTTCCTGGGTCCCCTCGGTGATGAAGAACAGTCGTGGACAGAAGAGCTGTGAAGAGCTGCGTTAGAATTCAGTTTGTAACATTTATCCTGTGTAAGTTACTCTTGCAGGAGGGAAGCCCCCATGATGTTTCCATTCTCTGCCCTTCCCCAGGTGAAGTCCCAGCTGGAAGAGAAGGAAAATAAGAAGTTCCCTCTTTTTAAGGCTGTGGAGTTCAGGAGCCAAGTGGTCGCGGGGATGAACCACTTCATCAAGGTGGGGTGTCAGTCCCCTCAAACAGAGGGGTCTGGCCTGAAGTGGGAGCTCATGCAGACGTGGCTGCCCTGGCCTTGTAGGTCCCAGGGCAGGGGTGCTTAAGGCGGGTCGTGTGGCAGCCCCAGCTTCTGGGGGTTCATGGCCCTCTACAACGAGTGTGTCTGCACGCACGTGTGTGTGTGCACGTGTGTGTGTGCGTGTAAGCACACCAGCCTCCATGGAGGAGAGGACCGAGCCTTTCAGAACTAAGAACTAAGGGCTCTGATGGAGTGAGTGTGGGGCGTGGGCTGGGGTGACGAGGGTGTCCACTGCCCTTGGAGGAGGGAGATGGGAGTGTCATCAGCCCTGTCACTGATGACCTGAAGGGACACAGCTTCCTCGCATCCAGGCCTTTCTCTCACAGTCCAGTCCCACAGGGAAACTTGGGTCAGAGGCTGCCCCTGCCCCCCTCACTCGACTCTCTCTTTCCAGGTTCAAGTTGGCGATGATGACTACGTACACATTCGAGTATATGAAAGACTCCCCCACGAAAAGAAGCCCCCGGCCCTGACCAGCTATCAGACCAACAAAGCCAGGCATGACGAGCTGTCGTATTTCTAGCCCCTGATTTTAAACAGGGCCCATCGTCCACATGGGTCTCTGTCCTCTGAGGCTGTGTGTTGGGATCATAAACGAATGTCATCTCTACGCTGTGCCACATGGGGTGGAGGGTGCTCTGCACCTTTCTGTGTCTCTGTTCCTAACTTTCATTGTGTTGACTTTTTTCCTCCCCATCAATGATCCTTCAAAGAGGGCTTATTATCTTTATATAAATTTTTAAAGTTTACAGATTTCCTGTTTTGGGTTGTTTCTTCATCTAAAACCATGATCACAATATAGAAGTGTCAGGAGGTGAGGCTGACATCTGTATAAAGGGCTTTGGCAGCCACATGACCGCTGTCCCACGTGAGCCCCTCCTGGGCCACGAGCTGACCTGAGCTGGCCAGACACACCTTCCACCTGAGGAGCTGAGCCCAGGGTGGTTGCCCAAGGTCACCGCAAGTGGGCGGTAGACCCAGGGTTCCAGGAGCTTGTATTGTGACCACAGCTCTGCAGGTTGTCCATTTTGCTCTGCGTCCTATCTCCAGACACAGTTTCCCCCCATAAGATAAAAGGATTTGAGTAAATCTGATTCTAGAGAATTAGCTTTGATGGATGCAGACACATTCACACACTTTACACTCCGGTAGAGATACGCAGATGTGTGCGGAAGAAGCAGGAACATTGCAGGTCACAAAGGTGTTCCTGCAACATAGTCGTGCGCTTCCCTGGGCGCCGTCTGCCTGGAAGGCTCTCTGAGCTTATCCACCGACCTGCGTGGGCTCAAAACCTGGAGCACTTGGGCAGGAGCATGTCTGCTTTAGTGATGCTTCTGGATTTCAACAGGGTTACTACCCATTAGTGAAGGTAATGAAAAAGAGTGCCCCGCACGTTGTGCCAGTAAAGGCCAATCCGTGAAAAATCTGTGTGGTTCAGGCTCGTGGTAGAAATGTGTTCCTGAGGGTTAAAGTCCATCTGACATTCCTGAACTCCACTTTGCCTCTGCGAGTGGCGTGTAGCATTTTGTGCCAGGTCTGCAGCTGAAGGATCGGGCTCTCCAGATCATGAGGGCATGAAGAGCAGACTAAGGGTGGGATGGTGAGCAAACAGAGCTTTGAAAGTGGTGATAAGAAGAGTCTAGAGAATGAACTGTGTGTGTCCTATTCTCTTTCTGGAAACTATGAGAATAAACACTTCATAACCTGCTCGTAGTCTTGGCAAAGAGTCAGACAATCTTGCATTGAAATGAAGACCCAACATACTTCCCACCTGGGACCTTACAGGAAAGGCAGGTGGGGGAGGTGCCATTTGGGGTGCTAAGAGGGGCCCAGCGGCCCGAGCCCTACAGGCAGGGAGCAGGAATCAGCAGGGGCGGTGGCCAGGGAGCCCCCACGGAGGCAGGTCTCACCACCAGGTCCAGAGTGACCACTTCATGGGCACGGGGTGTATTCCTGGGGTGATGAGAGACTTTTGAGACCAGAGAGGTGGGGGTCGCACAACATTGTGAATGCACCACATGTCACTGCACTGCGTACTTCCAAGTGGTTGAGTGTGTGTTGTGTGAATTTCACCTCAATAAAACCCAGCATCAGACAGTAAACCAGAGCCAGGCTTGGGGCCACCTTGGCAGAGATTTTGGGGGACAAACGCTGGGCTGGAGCTCTTCCATCTGCTCCGGGCCCAGCCCTGGATGCTGACCCGTGTGGACGCCCTCGCCTTCTGGCCCCTAGCCCCTCGTTGCTGGGACCACCTCGGGGGCTCCTGTCAGTGCCCTCTCTTCTGCAGGACTCTCCTCCCAGTTCTGATAAACACCAGAGGGTCTCGCTGGGGGCGGTCAGGCAAAGCTCCCGGCATCCTTACCAGCTGGGAAAGGAGCTCACCCTCAGCCCTCCGTTCTCTAATTGCCCTCAGAACTTGGTGCCACCAGAAATCAGGGTCCACTGGTCCAGGTGAGATCAGATGTGCGTTAAACGAGATAGAGGAACACGTCACTGATGCAACTCGTGGCCTGGGGACAACTGCCGACATGGTGGTCTGTCTCAGTGCCAGGTGGAGCGCCAGGAGGCCCCAACTGAGCTGCCTGGAAGCGGTGTTACCTCACGTTTCTATCCTAGAAGTAGCAGGGACACAGCTCCAGCATGCAAGGGCTAGAAGAAAAGTCTAGAATTCCAGAGGAAATGGTGAATTCCTCTAGAACCTGAGTGTGGGGCAGGCATTTTATCTGTGACTCAGAATCCAGTTACAATAGAGGAGCCATGAATTCACCTGTAGAAAAGGGGGAAAGAAAGAACTTCTGCGTGGCAAAGACCACCAAAGTCAACGGACAAATGACAAACTCGGAGAAAATACTACAACTTATAGATAAAGGGTTAACACCGCTAATGTGTAAAGGACTCTTCACAGAGGGGAGAAAAGGATGAAAAATCCTACAGCAAATGGGCAAAGACCTGAACAGACAATCCCCAAAAACTATCCAGATGCCCACTGACCTCTCTCGATGAGAGAAGGGCTGATAGCCACGCTGAGATCCTCTTCTGTCCTGTTCCACTGGAAAACCTCAGACGCTGCTGACCACTCTGGGGGCTGGGCTGTGGGGACACAGCCTCAGAGGGAGAGGGGGCTCCCTTTCCCAGCCACTCCCTGCCAGATTCTGAGGACCAGCTTCGGTCATTGATCAAGTGTCACTGCTCCTCCTGGTTCCAATTCCTCCAGGCCTGGGAGGTGACAGTACTGGTCCCACTAGCCCGGCAGGTACCACGCCATCCCTGTGGCTCACCCACAGCTTTGTAACTAAGTCCTCGGGTCATCTCCAGGCCAGGCCAGGTCATTGCTCTGCTAGAAAGACAACGAGAAGGGGTGGGAGCAGATGTGAAATGCAAAATGGTGCCACCCCTGTGCAGGGGACCTGGATGACCTCTCTCGAGACCACACACGCACGTGCCCTTCTAGCCCGCGGTCCCTGAACGTTAGTTTGTAACCCTGGATCATTTGCTTCCCCACCTGACCAGAGCCTGGTGTCCACAGTGCCTGGCACCTGGTAGGAGGGTGACAAATGACTGAATGGCAGGACAAGGATGGATCTCTCATCTGATTCAGGGCTCTGCTGTAGTAACGTGTTCCCAGCTCACCTCCATAGGGCCTGAGTCTGTGCCTCCCTTGCCCGTCCCTCTCGATCCGCCCCTGGGGCTTTGTACCAACACCCCACCCAGTGGGGCCTACAGTGCCCCGAGGCAGGGCAGCACACCTCAAAAGCACAAGGCTGCCCACCCCCGTGGGTGACCATTAACGAATTAGAGGAGATGGGAGAGAGCAGCTGAGCCAGTGGTCCCCACGTTCCCTCCAGAGATGCCCCTGTGTGACCCAGCAGCCCAGCAGGTGTCCTGGCCAGCCAGGTCAGCACTTCTCTCCCTCTCCCTGCCTCACTCCCCTCCTCTGTCCTCACCCCACAACCCTGGGATGGCATCCTCCCCTCCACAACACTGGAGCTGGAAGCTCGGGCCAGGCTCTTCTCCAGGAATCCCGACTGTGAAGGCCCTAAGCCAATGTGGTCTCAAGGGTGGGGCTGCACTTGAGGCCAGTCTTCCCGTCCCCTGGGGAAGCCTGCACCCGAGTCCTCTTGATGGTTGAGGTGGGAGGGCTGTGCATGATCCTCCTGCTGGACATTTGGCTCTGAGCCTCCGAGAGGGAAAGGTGACCGGGTCAGGACTAGCCCCACCCCACCCCATCCCCATCACAGGGTGTGGTGGGTAGAATAACAGCCCCCCCAGGATGCCCACTCCCAGTGCTGGGAACCTGTGAATGTTACCTTACAGGGCAAAAGGAACTTTGCAGGTGTGATTAAGATGAGGACTCTGAGATGGGTTATGATCCTGGATCATCTGAGTAGGCCCAGTGTCATCACAGGGTCCTTACACGAGGGAGGCAGGAGGTTCAGTGTCAGAGAGACTGAAGGGGCTACACTGCAGGCTTTGAAGGTGGAGGCAGGGCCACGAGCCAAGGATGCAGGTGCCTCTACAAGCTGGAACAGGCAGGGAACAGACTCTCCCTGGAGCCTCCAGAAGGAACCAGCCCTGCCCACCCATTTTTAGCCTTCTGGCCTCCAGAACTGTAAGAGTGTACATTTGTGTGGCTTTAAGTCACTAAATTTGTGGAAATGTGTTAGAGCAGCCTCAGGAAACTCATCCACCAGGATTGGGCCTCCAGGCCATGGGGGCCTTGCTGGGGAGCTAGACAGCATTGGGTGAGTCAGTTAGAGGTGCTTCAGACACGAAGAGAGCCCATGTCTGCTCCCACCCTTCTCGTTGTCTTTCTGGCAGAGCAATGACCTGGCCTGGCCTGGAGATGACCCGAGGACTCAGTTACAAAGGTGTGAGTGAGCCAGAGGGACAGGGTGGTACCTGCCAGTCTAGTGGGACCAGCGCTCTCACCTCCCAGGCCTGAAGGAATTTGAACCAGGAGGAGCAGTGACACTTGATCAATGAGCAAAGCGGGCAGAATCTGGCAGGGAGGGACCAGGAAAGGGAGCCCCCTCTCCCTCTGAGGCCGTGTCCCCACAGCCTGTTCCCGAGGGTGGTTAGGAAGTTTCTGGGGTTTCCAGTGGAACAGGACAGAAGAGGTCTCAGCGTGGCTTACCAGTCCTTCTCTCATTGAGAGAGGTTAGGGGACATCTGGATGGTTTTTGTGAATTGTCTGTTCAGGTCTTTGCCCATTTGCTATAGGAGTTTTCACTCTTTTCTCCCCTCTTTTAAGAGTTTAAACATTATCGGTGTTAACTCTTTATCTATAAGTTGCAGTATTTTCTGAGTTTATTTGTCCGTTGACTTTGGTGGTCTTTGCCACACAGAAGTTCTTTGTTTCCCCCTTTTTCTACAGGTGAATTCATGGCTCCTCTATTGTAACTGGATTCTGAGTCACAGATAAAAAGCCTCCCCACACCCAGGTTCTAGAGGAATTCACCTTTTCCTCTGGAATTCTAGACTTTTCTTCTAGCCCTTGCATGATGGAGCTGCGTCCCTGCTATTTCGAGGACAGAAACGTGAGGTAACACCGCTTCCAGGCAGCTCAGTTGGGGCCTCCTATGTGCTCCACCTGGTGATGAGACAGACCACCACGTCGGCAGTTGTCCCCAGGCCAAAAGTTGCATGAGTGACGTGTTCCTCTATCATGTCTAACGCGCATCTGATCTCACCTGGACCAGTGGACCCTGATTTCTGGCGGCACCAAGTTCTGAGGGCAATTAGAGAACGGAGGGCCGAGGGTGAGCTCCTCTTCAGCCGGTAAGGATGCCGGGCACTTCTCCCGGCTGCTCCCAGCGGTCCCCTCTCTGTGTGGACAGAACCTGGGCTTAGCACAGAGCGGCGGGCCTGTTCAGCCAGAATGGGGGGCGGAGGGGCCGGCAGAGCCCTTAGGCTTCGGGAGAAATGACATTCTTGGAGAATTCCGGTGAGGGTAGGCGAGTCCCCTGAGGGCGGCTGAGGATGGATGGGGGGGGGCTTGGGAAAGGAGCCTACCCACCCTGAGGGGCCTGTCCCTGCCTGGAGAGCTTGAGAATGAGGGTCTGTGACTCTCAGGGGAGGGGCGGGGCCCTGTATCAGTGTCTTCTGTACGTTTACATCAGTCCTGGTCCCTGGGGCAACAGATGGCACTGACAGGGTGATCTGAGAAGTGCTCAGTAAAGGGACCACTTACAAGGGGCAGAAACGGCCGGGGTGGTGCAGCACCCCTGGGGTGGCCACAGAGGGGAGCATTTACCAGCCTGGCACTAAAAGGGCTACCCGGCGGGCAGATTACCAGAACCAAGAGAAAAGTCCTGAAGGAGGGAGGGCACCAGCAGGAGCCCCCGAGGTGGTCCCGCCAGCTACAGGGTGAGGTGCCCCCACGGGTCAGTGCCCAGGGCCCAGGAAGAGCAGAGGACAGAGGCTGGACCTCGGGCAGATAAAAGAGCTCCAGTGCAGTGTTGTCCCCCAGACCCCATGCCAAGGTGGCCCCAAACCTGACTCTGGTTTACAGTCCTGATGCCGGGTTTTTATTGACGTGAAATTCATACCACACACACTGAACCACTTGGAAGTGCGCAGTGCAGTGTTGTCCCCCAGACCCCATGCCAAGGTGGCCCCAAACCTGACTCTGGTTTACAGTCCTGATGCCGGGTTTTTATTGAAGTGAAATTCATACCACACACACTGAACCACTTGGAAGTGCGCAGTGCAGTGTTGTCCCCCAGACCCCATGCCAAGGTGGCCCCAAACCTGACTCTGGTTTACAGTCCTGATGCCGGGTTTTTATTGAGGTGAAATGCACACCACACACACTGAACCACTTGGAAGTGCGCAGTGCAGTGACATGTGGTGCAATCACAAAATTGTGCAACCCCCACCTTTGTAGTCTCAAAAGTCTCTCATCACCCCAGAAACACACCCCGTGCCCATGAAGTGGTCACTCTGGACCTGGTGGTGAGACCTGCCTCCGTGGGGGCTCCCTGGCCACCGCCCCTGCTGATTCCTGCTCCCCGACGGGAGGGCACAGGCTGCTGGCCCCTTCTTAGCACCCCAAATGGCACCTCCCCCACCTGCCTTTCACTGGAAGGTCCCAGGTGGGAAATACGTTGGGTCTTCCTCTCAACGCAAGATTGTCTGACTCTTTGCCAAGACTACGAGCAGGTTATGAAGTGTTTATTCTCATAGTTTCCGGAAAGAGAACATGACACACAGCTCATTCTTCAGAGTCTTCTTCTTGCCTCTTTAAAAGCTCTATTTGTTCACCATCCCACCCTTGTCTGCTCTTCATGCTCTCATGACCTGGAGAGCCCGATCCTTCAGCTGCAGACCTGGCACAAAACACCACACGACACACACAGGCACAGTGGACTTCGGGAATGTCAGACTGACTTGAACCCTCAGGAACACACTTTCTACTCTGAGCCTGAACCACACAGAAATTTCACCGAACTGTCTTTACCCTCACAACGTGTGGGGCACTCTTTTTCATTCCATTCAATACAAATACAAACACAAACACACAGGGCTAACCAACCACTGGGTTGCCTTCAAGAACGGGCAGTAACCCTGTTGAAAACCAGAAGCATCACTAAAGCAGACGTGCTCCTGCCCAGGTGCTCTGGGTTGTGAGCCACGCAGGTCAGTGGATAAGCTGAGAGCCTTCCAGGCTGACGGTGCTCAGGGAAGTGCACGATTACTTTGCAGGAACACCTTGGCAACCTCAATGTGGAGGTCTGGACGCAGGGTGCAGAGTCAAGGCCACGGCGTGGGGGAGCTGTGGTTAGAACACAGGCTCCGGGAATCCTGGGTCTACCACCCTCTTGCTGTGGCCTTGGGGACCCCCCTGGGCTCTGTTCCTCGGGTGGAAGGGGTCTCTGGCCAGCCAGGTCAGCAGGTGGCCCAGGAGGGGCTCCACGTGGGACAGCTGTCACGTGGCCGTGCAAGCCCTTTATAAAGATGTCACGCTCATCTCTTGACACTTCTATATTGTGATTATGGTTTAGATGAATAAAAAACCCAAGACAGGAAATTTGTCAAGACCATAAAATATGTGTAATGAAACATATTAAGTCTTCTTTGAAAGTAATTTAAAATAATTGATTGGGAGGAAAAAAAATCAACACAATGAAAGTTAGGAACAGAGACACACACATGTGCGGAGCACCCTCCACCCCATGTGGCACAGCGTGGAGACGACATTCCTTTATGATCCCAACACATGTCCTCAGAGGACAGAGACCCACATGGCCGACGGGCCCTGTTCAGAATCAGGAACTAGAAATACGACAGCTCGTCGTGCCTGGCTTTGTTGGTCTGATAGCTGGTCAAGGCCGGGGGCTTGTTTTCATGCGGGAGACTTTCAAACACTCGAATGTGTACGTAGTCATCATCGCCAACTTGAACCTGGAAAGAGAGTGGAGTGAGGGGGGCAGGGACAGCCTCTGACCCAAGTTCCCCTGCGGGACTGGACTGAGCGAGAAAGGCCTGGATGCATAGAAGCCACGTCCCTTCAGGTCATCAGTGACGGGGCTGATGACACGCCCATCTCCCTCCTCCAACGGCAGTGGACGCCCTCGTCACCCCAGCCCGCACCCTCGGCACTCCACACTCACTCCATCAGAGCCCTTAGTTGTCTGAAAGGTTCGGTCCTCTCCTCCAAGGAGGCTGGCAGGCTCACACACGTGCGCACACCCACACCCACACACAGTTTTAGAGGGCCATGAACCTCTGAAGCTGGGGCTGCCACAGGACCCCCCTTTGGGCACCGACGAGCCCATGCCAACCACATCTGCTCGAGCACCCACTTCAGGCTAGACCCCCACGTGGCCAACACCCCACCTTGATGAAGTGGTTCGTCCCCGCGACCACCTGGCGCCTGAACTCCACAGCCTTAAAAAGAGGGAACTTCTTATTCTCCTTCTCTTCCAGCTGGGACTTCACCTGCGGAAGGAGAGAGAATGGAAACATCATGGGGGCTTCCCTCCTGCAAGAGTAACTTACACAGGAGCTCATTTCTCAGGATAAATGTTACAAACTGAATTCTAACAACGCTCTTCACAGCTCTTCTGTCCACGACTGTTCTTCATCACCGAGGGGACCCGGGAAACTCTCAGCTCTATCGACGAAGTTCAGGAAGCGATTCCTTAATTCTCCCCAAGTACAGTGATAGCATTTCACTGTATCCTTTGCCTTTCCTTTTCCAGGCCTGGGAGATTTTTCTGTTTTCATCATAGCAACACCATATACAAGATAATGCCCTGTTTTTCTTTTTACTTGACATGCAAATAGTTCATTAGAAAGACTGTATATAATTTTTAAATTACTCTTTTAAAATTGAAAACTAAACACTTTTAAAATTTTAAACTAAATGTAATCTTCCACCTTACAGATGTGCCTTAAGTCTCTTAACTGTCCCCTACTGCCAGCACTCCGGGGGACTCATTTCTCCTTAACACATGATGCCACAGATGAAGAGCTTTGTCCCCTTTGTAGATGATTTCTTTAGGGTGCAGGGACCTTGGGCAGAGGCTGCTCCTCATCTTCAGTGTCACACAGTCACCGTTCTTTTGCTTCAATCCTGTTTCCAGGGTCTTGGCCTTTTAGTAACTGAGCATCTTTATGGAGGAAGGAGAGAGCAGGTGTCTTTTTTTTTTTTTTTTT